ACGCCCACGCCGACCAGATCGCATTATCAGAGACACTATAGGTTCCATTCGCGTCGGGGTCTCGGTCTTCTACCATGTTTGGGGGCCCGCGGGGGCCAGGCCTACGACGAAGACTGCGACGGGGACAACGGTGGGAAGCATGAGCAGGAGGAGGCGGCTGCATGCGCGGCTGCATTTATTTTTTTACCAAAAAAAAATAAATGAACCCCGAACGCCGCTAAAGGCAACGCTAGATGAGCTTTGGCCGCTCTTCAGTTTGTTCTAGTCCCGAATCCAGCCCTGAGTCCGAATCCAATGCAATACTTCCCCTCCCTCCGCCCCCCTTCCCCGCCCTCTGTTGCGGCTATCCGCATCCTGCCCTGCCCCCCCCCCCCCCCTCCCCCCCTTCTACCCCGTGGCGCGCGCCGTGCGCGGGGTGGGTTGCGCAGGGCCACGCCCCCCTCCCACCCCCCACCGCCCCGCGCCATGGGCCGCCGTCGAACTCCCCAGCTCCCAGGCGACGCCGCGGCGGCCGACGGGGGCGAGGGGGGCGGCGGGAGCGGGGGCGGGGGTGGTAGTGGTGATGGTGGTGGAAGTGGTGGTGGCGGCGGTGGTGGTGGTGGTGGCGGCGGTGGTGGTGGTGGTGCGTGCGTGTGTGTGTGTGTGTGTGTGTGTGCGTGTGTGTGTGCTTGTGTGTGCGTGTGCGCGCGCTCATGCGTGTGTGTGTGTGTGTGTGTGCGTGCGTGCGTGCGTGCGTGTGTGTGTGTGTGTGTGTGTGCGTGCGTGCGTGCGTGCTTGCGTGCGTGCGTGCGTGCGCGCGCGCGCGTGTGTGTGTGTGGGTATGTGTGTGTGTGAGCTGGTTGTGTGTGTGTGTGTGCGTGCGTGTGTGTGTGTGTGCGTGTGTGTGTGTGTGTGGTGGTGTGTGTGTTGTGTGTGTTGTGTGTGTGTGATGTGTGTGATGTGTGTGTTGGTGTGTGTGTGTGTTGGTGTGTGTGTTGTTGTGTGTGTGTGTGTGTGTGTGTGTGTGTGTGTGTGTGTGTGTGTGTGTGTGTGTGTGTGTGTGTGTGTGTGTGTGTGTGTGTGTGTGTGTGTGTGTGTGTGTGTGTGTGTGTGTGTGTGTGTGTGTGTGTGTGTGTGTGTGTGCGTGTGCGTGTGCGTGTGCGTGTGTGCGCGCGCGCGTGCGTGCGCGTGCGCGTGCGTGCGCGTGCGTGTGCGCGCGGGGGTGGGGGTGGCAAGAGGGCCCCAATAGCGGCCCAAGAGGGCGCCAATGCGGCCCCAGGAACGCTCCAGGTGGGTCCGATGGGGGCTGGGGCTCGCGCTGTCAGCGCCGACGCGTTGGCAGCGCGAGCTCTCGCGGGTCCAGGGGGGCCACGCGAGAGGCCCGAGAACGCCGAAGGGGGCCCTGCGGCGCCCCCCCCCCCCCCCCCCCCCCCCGAAACCTCTACACTGAGCCCCGAGGGCCCTGAATGTGCAAGGCGACGCTCATGCGACATAGTGCCTCCGAAACGCGTCCGTTCGGCCGCGACGCATGCCTCCTAGCTGCGACCGAATGCCTCCGAGAAGTGCCCTCGCAAGTTTAGCCCTAGAACCTAGAACATGCAGGATTGCGCTCCTGCGACGTGCTGCCTCGGAAACGCGCAGCAGGCAACATAAGCCCCGACGCGAACTGACGCCACAGTTTCGCTGATATTGTTTGAGGCTGCCCCTGGCGAGATCGCATGTTTTTTAGATCGCAGGAGGCGGGGCTGACTTGAGCTGAGCGCCCGCTTCATTGTCGAATCGCGGGGGGGGCAAGACGGTCCCAGGATACCCCGTGCAACGCACAAATCACCGAGGTTGGCTCAAACGAGCATCAAGAGCCCCACGAGGACCCAGAGAACCCCAACACGGCTGCAAGACCTCCGAGAGCACGTTGCAGCACCACCGTACCACCGCAACGCGCCTAGATTATGATGCTCACCTAACGGACCTGGCGATGATCCCCCCATGTGGCATACAACTCCCATTTATCAAACTGTGGATGTTCGTTCTCTTTCCCGTTGGCTCCACTCCCAGCTCAGCTGCACGCGCCGCGCGCTGGAGGCCCCCCCCCACACGCCCGCCCAGGAAATCACAAGGGTCACCCCAGGGATGCGTTCTTCAAATGCCAGCGCCGAAAAGACACGCACCCCCTCTTCTCAAGTCTTAAACCATGCCCCCAGGGAGTTCGACAACGCACAACGACGGCGGTGGCGCCGAATGCGTTTACACTTACACACTCTGGCCAACCGCCCTGGAGCTCGTCCGTGGATGGGGTGGCGGGAACTCGCGAAGCGTCGAGGATTTTCTTCGCCGTCTTCATCGCTGGCGCCTTGGAGTCCCTTGCCCCGAGGTCGGCTCGCTGCGTCTCGTCGCAGTCCTTGTCATCACCGCCCGCCCCAGTGCCGCCCTCGCCCGCCTTGGTCTGGCCGAGCCGCTGCGACAAGGAGTGAATCTCGCGCAAGACATCGGCACCCACATACTCCATCGCAATGGCCACTGAACCCGTCTGGGCGAACTCCTTGAAGTATATGGCCTTGACGGCTGCGATTGCCAAGGTCGGATGCAAGTCAAGGCCCCTAGCCTGCAGGTGGAAGAGCAATGGCCGAAACAACTCAACGACATTGGTGAGCTTGCTGTCATTATCGTACTGGGACCAGGTGGAGAGAGCTTTGTGCAGACCGATCAACGACGACAGTTTCCATGACAGCTGCTGGTAAGCAATCTGGTACTCAAGTTTAGATTTCCCAATCACGTCGTCATGGTACTTCTTCCAGCGGCGCTGAAGGGCGCTCACGGTCGCCAGCTTGAAATTGAGATGCCACGTGCTGTCAGTCGCGATCTCATCAACGTAGCCGTTGATGGTGCCCCGCATCCTGGCGATGAACGGCCATGCGCCTCCTGCTGGCAACTCTCCGCCCATCGAGTACGCGTTCAAGGGGCCCTTCCACAGCTTCTCGTCCAGCACGTTGGCCGTCTCCGCCTGGCTGCTCTGGGGGCCGTATTGTTCATCGCCGTGGTCATCAAGGTCACCTTCATCGACCTCTCCGCCCAGGTCGTCACCGCCTGGCTCAGGTACTTCCCGCATCTCAGCTTTCGTAGGTGAAGTTCTGGCCAGGCCCTTCGCCGTGGCCTCGCCCATCAAGCCGAGAAGCATAAGTGTGACGGTGTTCTTCTCCTGGCCGTCCTGCAGCTCCTTGCCCTGCTCCTGCTGCCCCACGTCGCCTGGCGCCTCGTCAGCTGGAGGCTCCTCAGTCGGCTCCGACTTCGGAATGTGGAACCACCCTGAATTCCGCTCCTCGTCGTCCGAAGGGGCGAGCTCCAACTTGCCCGCGCGCAGAACTGACAAGCCTGGCGTGCTCTCGTTGCCCTCGTCGCCAGCGCTGCTGATTGGCTCAGCCTTCACTCCGCTATCAGAAGACATGGCAGACCTTGCCCAGCGTCAACTGTCACTGAGGTGTGTAGCTGAACTGCGATGGATCACTCACTGAATAGACTTTGAACCCGGCACAGCCACTGAGATACACTGATAACAATACATACGCAAGGCTATCTCAAGTCTGACCCACTCGGGGTGCGAGTGGCGTACGGCCTTAGGCTTTAGGGGCCGTCAGTAACCCAGGTTACATCAGCCTTCGTGCCCTTCGTGATTGCATCCTTTTTCTCCCTCTCCTCCTTCCCATCCGCCTCCTCCGCTCTCCGCCGAATCCTCGGTTCCATCCTCTGCCGTCCGCGTTCCAATCCTATATGTCCACGGCCCTCAAAAGCCTACCTACACTCAGGCTCACTCATACTCAGACGCGCCCATATGGCAGCATTGCCATACACACTCATACCTATAACTCAAGACTAACCTACACTGAGACCAGACCTGCATGTTGCATATCCCCAGGCTTAGTTGCGCCATGTACGCAGAGGAAATTGTGAAGATCTCTCGATCGAACCACCTGCTCGTTTGAACGAGTGCTTCCTCACGCATCCGATGCATCAGTCGAGGCGTCGAGGCCGACATAGGTCTACGCTCAGAGTTTTTAGGGCTCTTCGACGTGTACAGAAGCATTGTGTGTACGAGCTACAATGAACGTGAAGCATGCGGAACTATCGAACGCCGCAAGCATCGCGGTCGCTGGGTTGTGGCAGCTGGCAGCGGTGATGTCACGTGATGTCGCTGACTTCCTCTGCTGGCTCCGCCGTCGAGCTGTGCTCCCGCTGGCTGATGGACCAACTGTCTCACTCCGACTCCGACGAGGGATCGAGCCCAGTGGGCACGGTCGTGCCGTCGCTGCCGTTTGGCATGTATACAATGGTGCATGCGCGTTGCGTTTCCACCCATTGTTTTTGATTTAGCAGCGCCAGTATGTGCACGCAGGAACCCATGCTCTATGCCTATTACGCGTGGGTGCGCACGCGCGCACAATGCATCTCGTATACGCGCTGTCCTGTTTCAGGCCGAGATGGCCGCATAGGCCGATCAGAGAATGAATGCTTACATTGGCGTTTCACCATTGTTTTCGTCTTAGGATTGGCAGCATGTGAATTAAAACGCGTGGGCGATTTACCCGCCATCGTTTCCCATGTGCCCCAGGCTGTGGTACTCGTCTCATGCGATGGGACAGGGAGTGCTTGAAGTTAAGTACACGTTGGTGTTCTAGTTTCGGGTGTGGGTTTAGCAGCTTGGGTATGTACATACGCATGAAGCCGCATGCGCAATGTTGCGCGCGTGACAGTTCGTGCGCAAGGTCGCCCGCGTGGTTCTGGGTTGGCAATGAACACCGCGGGCCTTGCATGGGAGGCCCTGTGCTCCTCGAGGCTCAGGGCCCATGAAGGCCTAAGGCGCGCGGGCCTCCAGGGCCTCTCAAGCAGGGCGCGCGTGGTTCTGGGCTAGCCATGAACCCCGCGGGCCTTGCGTGGGAGACCCCAGGCTTCCCGAGGCCCACGGCCTTTCTGGGCCCGATGCGTCCATGCATCCAGGGCCTTTGAGCCCGCGTGGCCATGGGCTAGCCATGAACCCCGCGGGCCTTGCATGCGAGGTCCCAGGCTTCTCGGGGCTCAGGGCCTCAAAGGGCCTAATACGTTCAGGCCTCCAGGGCCTCTCAAGCAGGGTCAGCGGGGATCTGGGCTAGCACCGAGACCCTGTGGGCCCTGCATGGGAGGCCCTAGGTTCCATTGGGCTCAGGGCCTCACTGGGCCCGATGCGTTCGCGCATCCAGGGCCTCTCAAGGAGGGCCCGCGCGGTTCCGAGCAAGGCATGAAACCCGTGGGGTTTGCATTCGGCCGCCCCGAGCTCATCGTGGCTCGAGGTCTCTCGGGGCCCAATGCGTTCTGGCTGCGTTGTTTCACGGACGTTGCAGCGTCAGGTCTGGGAGGCATCGCCACCCTGTCCCTTACCTTCTCTCCAGCTTCGCAGCCACCGCGGCCCAGCCATCGGCCGTCGGCTGCAACCTCCAGCCTGCCATCCCACCGACGGCGCACGATGGCCCCGAAGGCTCGCGGAGCTGCCAGCGCAGTGCCAGATGGCGGTCTCGGCCGAGATCGCGACCCAGAGGTCAAACAGTTGAAGGAGGCGCTCAGGAAGAAGGACCGCGTCCTGAGGCGCGTCGCGGGAACCTTGCACAGGGTTGCCGCGCGGCTGGTCGCGAGCACAGAGAAGGAGCGCAAGCAGCAGGCCAAGCGCTCCCAGCCTGACTCCCAGCTGAGCTTGGCCAGTGTGATGCGTGACAAAGAGGACATGTGGGCCAGAGATGCGGCGATCGCCGCTGCGTGCCCGCCAGCGATGGCCATGGAGGCGTACCGCATCGCCAGGGCGCAGCGCAGCGCTCCCACCCCATCAACGTACATCCTGAAGGGCAAGCGCACCAAGGAGAGCAAGAAGCAGGCCAAGCAGACCGCGGACACTAAGATCCGCCAGAGCGTACCCACCAAGAAGATCACGGCCAAGCAGATCACGCGTGTCATGAACAAGAGCAAGGACCCCAACTACAAGAACAGTGGCATCGGCTCCGAGGATGCCGCGGCTGCGTGGAGCAAGGTAAAGCATACACTATGCATCCAGGGCGTGCGAGCGCGCACGCGCGCGCACGCGCGCGCACGATCCATGCATGCTTGTTTTTTGTTCACACGCGCGCCAGCGAGGTTCAACCGAGAAGCCGTTGGTGAAAACCCAATGCTAAACATTATTCTCTGACAGCAAGGGGCGGCCATCACAATGTGGACCATGTGGATTGGGATGGGGTGCAGTTGTGCGCTTGTGTACGCGTGCCAAATGATGCTATACCAACTGGGGGCCCACATCCCAAAAAACCGATGAACTTATCTTGCGCGGCTAAAACATATCAACGCAATGCCCTGGGTCAAAATAGCATGAATGCCATGTGCATCGTGGTCGCGCGTAAGCGCGCTGAACAGGCGTGTGTGTGTGTGTGCGCGCGCATGTGCGTAGGGGTTTAGGTGCGTAAGTTTGCGCGTGCGTGCGCGTCCGCATGCGCGCGCGCGCGAATGCGTGCCGCGTGAGCGCGGGGAAACTGACAGGGGAGGTGCGCGCGCGCGCGCGCGTGTGTGTGTGTGTGTGTGTGTGCGCGTGCGTGTGTGTGTGAATGTGTGTGTGTGTGTGCGTGCGTGCGTGCGTGCGTGTGTGTGTTGGTGTGTGTGTGTGTGTGCGCGTGCGTGCGTGTGTGCGGAGGTGGGTGGGTTGGTGGGTGGGTGGGCGGGCGCGGTGCCGCGGGTGGGCGTGGGGGCAGGGGTTGGTGGTTGAGGTGGGGTGGGGCGGGGTGGTGGTGGAGGGTTGGAGGGTGTTGGTGGTGGTGTATGTGTCTGCGCGTGTGTGTGTGTGTGTGTGTGTGTGTGTG